AAAGAAATTAATCTTTTCCTGCATCCTCCATTCCTGAGAATACACTGTTAACCTGTTGTGATTCTTCTTTCACCAAAGTGATTGATTACATTCCTAGTACTTTGTATTGTCATCGGAGTGAAAAATGATGTTTTATTGTGCTTTGATTTATATGTTGTTGCTTGCTAGTAATATTTTCCATACATCCATGTATTTATTTGCCATTTGGTTTTTTCTTCCTCTCTGACTTGCCTGTTCATTTTCTCGCTGGTCCAAGCCAGCGGGACGAGTTAAGAGTCTAGACCATGGATGGCAAACCTTTTAGAGCTTTCAATAATACAAACAGCCCGCTGCGGCATGTGTGCCATAGGTTCGCGACCACTGGTGTAGACTCAGAAGGCAGGCAGGCGAGGCTTCTATTTAATGCTGTGAGATGTTGGGCAAAGTGCTTAGCCTTGTTTCTTCTCTTTTAATGAATAAGGCTGATACCAGTGCTATTTGCCTTTTAATTTATACAGTTGCATAAAATTTGAGGGTGTTTTTGTTGTTGTTTCCTGGAGATTAAAAGTACATTGCTAAACAAGTGCTCCAACACTGAACTACATCCCTAACCCTAGGTTGTATAAAATTTAAATGGCCACTTAGGGTAATATATATAAGTTAGCTATGCCCAATAAATATCAGCTTTCATTATTATTATTTTTCTAGATCTTTATTATTCCCTGGTGTTAGATGAAGCATTGCCCTTACTAAGCCGTATTTTCTTACCTTCTAGATTTTATCTGGTAATTCCTTAAGCCACTGTTGGGCTTCCCCTTTGTTTAATGCATAGGTCTGGGAAGGTATGGGAAGAAATTTCAGAAGCTGAATTTGTTTTTATCTAGCTCATGGCAGAGCTGCCTATGTAAGGTAAGTTATAGCTTTTAGGTTATTATTATATCTAACATTGCCTCTTCTTTGGGATATCTCTGATGAAGAATATATTTGTTAGATATTAGTGGACAGTCAGCATGCTTTGTTTTTATTTTGCCTGTTATTTTAGTTCTTTTGCTTCTTTTCATATGTTTACATCCTTAACTGGTCTTTTAATTATAAGGAACTCGTACACTTTTCCTTGCTTTATTAATTTCTCATCTCCTAGCATAGACAACTTGGAACAAGAAGTATCTTTCAGAAGGGTACCGGGAATTGCATCTACATTAAGAACCTATTGCTGGGCTGGGGATTTAGCTCAGTGGCACTGCACCTCCCTCACAAGTGCAAGGTCATGAGTTCCATCCCTGGTACCAAACAAACAAACAAACAAACAAAGAACCTGTTGCTCTATGTTAGCTCTGAGATCACAGTCTTTGCTTTGTTGAAGGACTCAAGCAGACAATTCAGAAGTAGAATACGCTGTTGATGGTGGTGGCTTGCAGCACCTAGTACTGATGGCTTTGTTAGGAAACGTCATAAGCAGTACACAATATAAAATAAATTCTTTGCTTTCAGTTAAGTAGATTCTGTTTGTATAGGTTCTGGTTCTTTTGATGTGAAAAACTAGGAAAAG